AGCACGGGATTGGGACCTGGATCATGGAAGTGGTTAATGCTTCTCTGAGGGAGGGTCGAGTGCCTGCCCCTTTAAAGGAGGCGGTAATACGACCGGTCCCGAAGAAAGCGTCACTGGATCCAGAGATGGCCACTAACTATAGACCTGTGGCCAACATCCCGTTTCTGGGCAAGGTGTTGGAGCGAGTGGTGGCGGGACAACTCCAAGCACTCTTGGATGAAACTGATTATCTGGATCCTTTTCAGTCTGGCTTCAGACCCGGGTACAGTACTGAATCTGCCTTGGTCGCCCTGTACGATGACCTGTGCAGGGAGAAGGACAGGGGGAGTACATCCCTGTTGGTTCTTCTGGACCTCTCGGCGGCTTTCGATACCATCGACCATGGTATCCTTCGGGATAGACTTGCGGGATTGGGGGTTGGAGGCACTGCTCTGCAGTGGTTCTGCTCCTATCTCAACGGTCAATTCCAGAAGGTAGTGCTGGGGGACCATGTCTCTACGTCATGGCAGCTATGCCATGGGGTACCACAGGGCTCCATTTTATCCCCTCTGCTATTTAACATCTATATGAAACCGCTGGGAGAGGTCATCAGGAGGTGTGGGCTGTGGAATCATCAATACGCTGATGATACCCAGCTCTACCTCTCGTTTTCCACCAATCCAGGTGAGGCAGTGGCTGTGCTGAACCGGTGCTTGGCCGAGGTAAGGGAATGGATGAGGGCCAATAAACTGAAACTCAACCCAGACAAGACGGAGGTCCTGTTGGTTGGCGGATCGGGTTTCGGAGAGGGTGGATTTGACCTGGTCCTGAATGGTGCAACACTCCCTCTTAGGGATAAGGTCCGCAGCTTAGGAGTACTCCTCGACCCGGAGCTTTCTTTGGAAGCTCAGGTGACAGCGGTGGCGAGGAACGCCTTCCTTCAGCTTCGGCTGATTAATCAGCTGCGCCCCTACCTGGAGTACGACTGCCTGGCGACGGTGACACACGCACTGGTGACTTCCCGCCTAGACTTCTGTAACGCGCTTTACGTGGGGCTTCCCCTGAAGACAGTCCGAACACTTCAATTGGTGCAAAATAGAGCTGCCAGGTTGCTGACGGGGACGGGGCGTTATGCTCACATGACTCCAGTCCTCCGTCAGCTTCACTGGCTTCCCATTGAAGCCCGGGCCCAATTCAAGGTGTTGATTATGACCTATAAAGCCCTAAACGGCTTGGGTCCTGGCTACCTGAACGAGCGCTTACGTCCGTATATGCCCGACCACCCTTTGAGATCTGCGGGAGAGTCCCTTCTCTGGGAACCCTCCATGAAAGAAATTAGGAGAGTAAGTACTCGGAGGAGGGCTTTCTCTGTGGTGGCACCCAACCTATGGAATTCACTCCCCAAAGAGGTCCGCCTGGCACCGTCATTACTGGTTTTTCGGCGCCAGGTAAAGACCTTTTTATTTAAACATCATTTTAATTGTTAAAACATATGATCTGGCCAGGGCAACCTCTTCTTCCTTCTCTTTCTCCTCCTATATTTTTATTTACTTAATTTATACTGATAATTTTAATCTTATATTTGTAAATCAATGTATTTTTTGTATTTTTGTATTTAATGGTAATTTATTATGTGCTATTGTATTTCAATGTATTTTATCGTGTTGTAAGCCGCCCCGAGGTTTCGGCAAGGGGCAGCATAGAAATGTTATAATAATAATAATAATAATAATAATAATAATAATAATAATAATAAATTGAATGTCTAGGTGATGGAGGTTCAAATCCGATACAGGACCAGAAGGTTCCATCAATACCAAAGATTATGTCAGTACCGAGGATTGTACTGGAGTCGTCGGGTTCAATGAAGTTGTCAGTACCGAGACAGAGGAGGAAGCGACAATCAACAAATGAGCCAAGCGGTGAGATTGAGAGAGTCGAGGTCTGGATGACGAATCGCCCCGTTTTTCTGCATAATAAGATGAGAAACTTGTGGGAGACGAAAGAAGGTTTGCTGGGAGAGATTGAGAATGGTCGGAAACCAAGGTTGGTGTGGCCACCATGGCGTTATAAGAATTCCCTGGGCTTTGTCTTGAACAATTTTGGCCAGGGTTTTCATGATTAGCGGAACTGGAGGAAACGCGTAGAAAAACGTGTTCACCCAGCTCACCATCACAGCATCTTCCAGTGAATTTGAGCTGATGCCTGCCTGGGAGGAGTAGTCTATGCACATTGAATTGGCCACTGTAGCAAACAGATCTATGGTCAGGGTGCCCCAGCATTGGAAAATGTTGCAAATCTGTTGGTCCAACTCCCACTCGTGAGTTGTGGACATCTGCCTGCTGAGGGCATCTGCCTCTTCGTTGTCTACACCGGTGAGATGAACTGCTAGTGGGGTAATCCTCCTGGGGATACACCAGTTCCATATTCATGGGGCAAGATGAGCTAATGGTACCGATTTCGTGCCGCCCTGCTTGTTGACATAAAATACAGTCACGACATTGTCTGAGGCTATTTGAACCACTCGGTCCCGAAGGGTCAATTCGAAGGACCGGAGAGCTTTGAAAACCGCTAGAACCTCTAGGTAATTGATGTGCCTGGACTTTTCGTGACCCTGCCAAGTGCCTTGAGTACGGAGGTTGGCACAATGCGCTCCCCATCCTGTAAGGGAGGCACTGGTGTAGAGGCTGGCGAAATGGGACTCCTGTGGAAAGATTGTGGTGACGATGGCATCAGAGTAGGTGAGCAAGCCGGCGGATGACCCAGTTGAGAATGGGGAGGTGAATCTTGTATCTCGCCATCAGACATTGATCTGTGGAGAGCCACCTCAGAGCGATCCAAAGTCAAAGGAGCCAACAATGAGATCCTTTGAGGGGATCCAGGTGGTGTAACCTGCATGACGGCCCGGGCAGTCAGACCTGAAGGGGTCAGGACTGAAGCGGCCATCGGGACCGATGAGGCAGTCGAGCCCGAGTCCCTGTGAGGCTCCTGGGAAGCTTACACTGCTTGTGTTCGGCTTTGTCGGCTTCAGTCTTCTTAGACTTTTTCAAAGCTGACGGAACCTCCGGCCCAGTGTGCTTCCGTTTCTCCTTTTGTTTCTGGAAGGAGGAATGGGAGGAGCGAGTGGTCTCCTTGGAAGCGGCCCCCTCTGATGGTGGACGAGAGGAGGACACCATGGGTGGGCCTGTGGAAGAGGCCTGGGCGGCAAGCTCATTGGAGGCAATGAGGGCCTGATCCCAAAGAAACTTCCTCAGCCGATTTTCCTGATTCTTGCGGGCCTGTTTGGTGAATGACTGACAATGTTCGCATTTGTCAGTCCAATGTTCTTCTCCGAGACAGAGAAGGCATAGCTCGTGTGGGTTTGTAGGAGACATTTTGGCCCCACATTTCGAGCACTTTCGAAAAGCTGCATGCTGAGCCATCGAGAATAGTGAATGGAAGATATAGGAATTAAATAAAATAGTAAAGATATGAAATATAAAACTTTTGTGGGGGAAAGGGAACGGGGGAAGAGAAAGAACTGCCTAACAAGGAAGATAGGGATTTGAACTTGGAAAGGATTTTAACAAGAAAGATCAACAGGAATCAGCAAACAACAAGGTAATATGCAATAGAAAAGAGAGTAACGAACGGCTCGAGGTAAAGCGATCGGCAGTCGAAAGAAGACTGGGGAAAATGGCGGGTACTCCGCCCTTTATATTACAGCAGGGGAGGGGTGCAGAGTTCCAGCCAAAATCTGTTAAAGCTTTGAATTCTTCCCGGCTGCAGGCAATGCACAGGCAAAGCACCCATGAAGTGTGATGCACAGAGACCATGACGAAGAATGGGCACTTTCATGTGAGCATTGTGCTTCTATATTACCTTCAGTGCTCACACGTGCAGCTACATCTATAGGAAAGGTGCTGCCAGATTATTGTGACTGATTTTGATCCATCCTCTTCGGTCTCTCCTCCAGACAGATCACAACATGAGTGGAGAAGATGCACATTATTATAAACACAGAATGGCCTGTTGAAAATGGTAGCCATGTTAGCTCCTTCACTTGTACATCTAGTTCTGTCTATGCCATATCTATGCTGTCTATGCTATGCTGTGAGCTGCCCCGAGGCTTCGGCAAGGGGCGGCATAGAAATGTTTTAATAAAATAAATAAATATCATGGCAAGAGGCATTTCCTGGCTTCTACTCCATTTTACAGAATATGGAAATGCACAAGTGTGGGGAAATATACTTTGCCATGATGTCAGAACACTTCCGAAAAGCACTCAATATTGTATAAAGCAGTGGAATTGTGGCAGGAGAGCCGTGATAGTTAGAAAACCCATTTTTCCCAAAATGCTTAATTCTGCCCTTTGCAGAGTCAAGGCATCTCTTACAGCACCCACAGGCAACCTGCATGCAGCCATCAGATGCTCTTAAATGAAGTATGCCAAAAGCATACTGAGGCAGATCATCTAAATTAACATGGATACAGAGTGCCTTTTCTGGTCGTTCACAGATGTTTACAGGCAGTCCAGACAACATTGCTTTCCATTTGTAACCCTCCTGAGCTTTCCCACCACTTGTTCTGTCTTTATTCTCTTCACATAAGTTCTGTTAAGAAAGAAAAGATGGAATGGCTGCACAATATCTGTTAACTGGTAGCACCAGGAACCCTCTACTTGGAAGCACCACTCTGCTGCCAAAAAAGTGTTCTGTGCAGGTGTCCCCACTGCCACATCCCACTGGTGACACCATACTTAATGCTATCCTGCACAGCTGCACACTGTAGTCGTAATAGGGCCACTTCTAAATATGCTGCATTGTCTCTACTGATTCCAAGTCATGTTCTATATCAACTTAACTAATCACTTCTGTAATGCTGGCTTACTTTCAACCTGCATATTTGTGGTGTCTTCAAATGAATTTGGCAAATCATAAACAAACAAAATGTAAAATCCTACTCTGTAGCATTAACACTTTTGCTTGGAAAAGTATCTGGTTCCAAAGAAACATACACAGTCTGGACCGTATCATACTAACCTGCTATTCTTCCAATGGGCATTGTATGCTCTTCTGGAGGGGAGACAGAGACCATGATGTGGTTCATGTATGCTAACTCTTCACGGTGGGACAAGTTGATGGGCTTTACCTCTCTGTGCAGTCCATCTTCAGACAACCTCGAGGCTTTGAAATCAACAGAGTGCCTGGCATTCAGTATCAAGGGGTGCATGATGGGGCTGGGCATAAGCTGAATCACCCTGGTGTTTTCTTGGCGAGGACTGGAAGGCTTCTGATGTACTTCAGAAGGGGTTGGGCAGTGGTTATTCTCAATCGGAGACACTGAGAGGGGGTAAGTCTCTTGGTGATTGTTCTCCTGGTGGTGTCTTGTCCCCAAAAGCCTATCAGCTGGTGAGAGGCGACGAATAGTATTCTCCAGTGGGGATTTCAATGACCGCTGCTCAGGCTCTGGTGAAGGTCTGTGATTGGAATTGATGGGTGATCTAGAACGGTGCAATAGTTCAATGGTTGGTGGGTTGTGATGGATTGTGTCTGTTGATTGTCTTGAAGGTCTCTGGACAAAGTTGTCTGGAGAACAAAGAAAAAAAAAAAGAAAAAGAAAAACTAACTTTAGAATGTGGCAGGTCCAACAAACCTTTATTAGCCCTGGTGGGCAACTGGTAGCCTTTAGGTAAGAAGTGACCCATGAAACAATTTCAACTGGCTCTTGCTGGCCAAGCTAAAGTTTAAACATTTTGCCCATAATTGTTACCCTGAGACCAAACAAAAATACTTTCAGGACATTCCATATCATGATTGTTCTCAAGTTGCAAGTAGAAACATGAAGTCCTTGTCAGTGGTTTTATTTTATTTTATTTTATTTATTTATTTATTTATTTTTCAATTTATAGCCTGCCTTTTTCCTACAAAGGGCTCAAGGCAGCTTACATCATTTCTCCTCCTCCATCTTATCCCCACAACAACAACCCTGTGAGGTAGGTTGGGCTGAGAGTCTGTGACTGGCCCAAAGTCACCCAGTTGGCTCCATGGCTGAGCGGGGACTCGAACCCAGATCGCCTGAGTCCCAGTCGCATGCTCTTAACCACTACACCTAAAAATATTAAAATAGTATGCCAAGAAAGCATGAATTTGGGAAACAGTAGGCATTATGCAAACTTGCAAGATCACAGAATAGTAGAGTTGAACTGAATTATTTTTAAACATCTTTTGGTATCTCAAATATAAAAATAATCATGTTACAGATGCAAAATGTGCCAATCAACCCCAAGTATCTTATCTTCTGGTTCTAATTAAGTAGTGGAATAAGCAAAAATAGCACAAATTCCAGAAGGATGACATTAATCTGTTGTACGACAAAACAGTTTCATGCAATCTTCCTCGTTTAGGGTATAATATAGGACACTGGAGAATCATAGAACAGTAGAGTTGAAAGGGACCATAAAGTTACAGGGTCCAACCCCGTATTAGTGCAGCACACCAAGTTACACCATCCCTCTCAGATGGTTGTCTAATTGCAACCTGAATGGCTCTAATGTGGGAGAGCCCACAACCTCCCTAGGTAATTGGCTCCATTATTGTGCTACTCTAACAGTAAGGAAACATTTCCTGATATCTAGTCGGAATCTGGTTTCTTGTAACTTAAGTCCACTATTCCATGTCCTGCACATTCAGATGATCGAGAAGAGATCCTGTCCTTCCCCTTTGTGAAAGCCTTTTAAGTACCTGTACAGTGCTGCAATAACCCCCCTCAGTTTTCTCAAGGCTGAGCATGCCCAGTTCTTTCAGTCTCTCAACAGAGAGCTTTGTTTCTAGTCCCTGGATCATCCTTGTTACCCACTTCTGAACCTGCTTTTCTGCATCTTTTTAAAATGTGGTGCCCAGAACTGGACACAGTACTCCAGAGGAGATCTGAATAGTGCTGAGTATAGGGGATCTAGTACTTCACATGATCTGGAAGTGATACTTCTATTAATACAGCCTAATATAGCATTTGCTTTTTTTGCAGCTACATTGCATTGTTGGCTCATATTTATCTTGTGATCTATGACAATTCCAAGAGCTTTCTCATTTGTAGTATTGTTGAGGCAAGTATTCCCCATCTTGTAATGATGCATTTGGTTTCTTTTCCCTAGGTGCAGGACTTGGCATTTGTTCCTCCTGAATTTCATTCTGTTGTTATCAGCCCAGCAGTCTAATCTATTAAGATATCCTTGAATCTTCTTTCTGTCTTCCAGGGAATTTGCTATCTCGCCCACTTTTAGGTCTCTGCAAATTTGATAATTGTTCCCTGTATTTCCTCAGCCAAAACATTAATAAAAATGTTGAAGAGCATTGGGCCCAGGATAGAACACTGTGGCTATTTAAGTTGCATTATATTTTTGCAAAAATTATGCTGGCTTTGCCACTCTTGAAACAGAAAAAGACACAGAAGTCCTGCCACCTGATACTGAAAATCATAGTAATTTACCTTTTCCATTCTAAAATGTCAGAAGGCACTGCTTACTATGCTATCAAGCATATCTCTACTGACACAGAATTTTATCCAGACTTAGACCCACTGAAATCAATGGGGTTTATGTTAGTCACGACTAACTTGTCCCACTGATTCCAGAAAGTAAGAGAAAGCAAAAACCCTCAGAAAGTTGCTTTTGGTGCCTACTGTTACACTGGCCTGCTTTACACCATTAAAACAGTCTACCATTACAGTCGATTGAATGTTAAACAGTATGGCCATGATTTAGCCTAAATAAAACATTTTTAGAATTCAATGATTTCAAATGGGAGGGAATTAAACTTCACTCTCCTGTTGAAAGCAAAGGGACAACAATCACTTTTGCTGGTTTGTGCCTGTAGGTATCTCAAAATATTTTGTCCCCAGAAAAAATAGATGCTGATTTTTAGCCATTTGGTGTGTCCCCAAAAAAGGAGCAGATGAAAAAGGTAACAAAAAGTGACAAAAAAGAGGGAAGCCTAAAGTTGGCATTATTTGGTGTTAATTATTCATAGGAACAAGGATCATAAAAACTTTTAATATTTTGGTAAGAATCTTCAAATCTTCATCAGTGGCAAGGGTAACATGTTCATGTATATATGTAAACATGTTGGAACATTCAAGGCCACAATCCCTTGAAAGTTCAGCCCGCTGAATTTCAGTTATATATGTACTTAAATCCTTCTAACTGAACTCAGTGGAATTAAAAAGTGTTTAAGGTTCTTTGGATGGGGTCATGTATATCTAACAAATGATTTGGCACTAATAAAAGCCTCCTCAAAGGGAGGGGATTCCTCAGGCACATGGAGCCTGGAGAGCTGGACTGTTTGCAACTGGCTCTGGGCATAGCTCTGGAAGATCCAGTTACAACACCCTTCTGTCCTGCTATATAAACTGCTGGAACAATGCAGGTATGATCTGCTGTGTAATCTCTCCAAATGGATCAAAAACAACAAACTTTCTCTTTTAAAAATATATAATCAAAATACTAAATATCTTTCTCACTTTAAAATTACATAGTGGTAATTAGGGACTGCAGGTGGCGCAGTGGTTTAAACCTCTGTGCTGCTTGGCTGGTTGATCAAAAGGTTGCCGGTTCAAATCTACACAACGGAGTGAGTTCCCGTTGCTCCGTCCCAGCTCCTGCCAACCTTGCAGTTTGAAAGCATGCAAATGCAAGTAGATAAAAAGGTACCACTTCGGTGGGCAGGTAACAGCATTCCATGCACTTCGGTGTTTAGTCATACAGGCCACATGACCACCGAGACTTTCTGTGGACAAACGCTGGCTCCCTTGGCTAGGAAACGGAGATGAGCACCGCCCCCTAGAGTCAGGCATAACTGGACGTAACGTCAAGGGGAAACCTTTACCTTTCATTGGTAATTAAATTTCATTATAAACATGCCAAACTTAAACATGCCAAATTATGAGGGGAATCTTCAGGATGGCGGCCAGTGACAAGTGGCGTCCCCCAGGGCTCTGTCCTGGAGCCGATCCTGTTTAATCTTTTCCTCAATGACATGGAAGAAGGAGTGAAAAGTCTGCTGATCGAATTCTTCAAACTTCTGGATCTCCAGGTTTTCCAGCTGGAATGCACATGGGAGTGTTGTTCTGTGTTTGCGAGGTAGTGGCTTTGAGCTAGTTAAGTTAGTTAAGACTAAAAGGCCATATAGGAAAGCTGGTAAAACTTGATGTTTAACAAAAATCAGATTTTTAAATCAGATTTTTTCCCCTGCCCAGTAACGATCAAACCCTGCTTTATCAAACCTATCAGCATTTCACGTTTGTTTGCTACTTTGTTTTTGTGAGAGTAAAACAAGAAGGAGCAACACTGGAGAAGAAAGAGAAAAAAAAATGTCCAGTGTGCATCTTACTGTACTCCTATACTAAGGCTGCAATCCTATACCCACTAGGAACAATGAACTCAGTGAACTGATTTCTGAGGAGACTTTGTTGTTAACCTCAAACTGTTGTAAGTGCTGGTGATAAGAAGGAGCCTATCTAAGATTGCTTCAATAGAAAAAAAAGAAAAGCATGTGAAATGCACACAATGAGACAGAGGCATGGTTCACATGACAAAGCAGCTCCTGGTGGCTTAATTTACTTATGGGGTAAATTGCACTGCATTGCAGTGAGTGCCCACAGACATAATTTTCTCATGCTGCCCACTAGTCCCTGGCTTGTGTAGCACAACCTCTGGCTGCAGAGATTGTCTGAGGTCAGACAACCCTCAAAGAGGTGCAGAGTCGGCTTGCAATGATGAAATAGTATAATATTCTACTTGGTTAGCTGTAAATGAACGTGGTTAAGTGATCAGATCTGCACCATTGTTTAAGAAATATATGAAAACCGTTCACTGGAAGACTGATTTAAAGCAATGATTTTAACTTACCATTTTCCTTGCTGATTTATGTTTACATCCACCCTGCTGCCTGCATCTCTGGTTTTAGCCCCCTGTTAGCAAGTTTTACTTTGTTCTTTACTCTGCATTTCTCCCCTTGGCTATTCACAACTCTGGTATCAGATCACATTCTCTGTTAAGCTGCTTTCCAGTTTTGATCCTAACCGCTGTTTGGGACTCTACTTTTTGGACTGGTCTTGTCCCCCTTGCTTAAGCAGGAGAATGGCACCTCAAATTGACAACTTAAGCATTTACCTTACCATTTCACATTACATATCAAATACACAGATATATTTCAGTCCATGGCTACTACTATTTTTAAGTCCCTGTTTAAAAAAAGACCTTTGTTCATTCTAAAATCTGTACACACTGTAAACAAAAGAACTCCACCAACCCCTCTAAGGGACTACAAAAACCATAGAGTGCTGGGGAAATGGAATTCCACCCACATTAACTCAGTGACCTTAGCCTGACTCCATGCCTGCTCATCAGGCTGTCCACCTCCAAAGACATCTTGCCAGCAACCACCAGCTTCCTTGTTAAGGCTGAGGAGGAAGTGACATTGGTGTGGATTTTATGATTCACAAGCCCAGAGTCATAAACAAGAAAGATCTTTCTTTCTTTGACTATTTAGGTCAGTAATAACAAAATGGGCACAAGGAAGTGAAACTTCAG